CACATTCTTCTTCATATAATCCAGCTTCTTGGATTATTTGCTTACCATACAAATTGAATAAGTATGGTGAAAGCATACAACCTTGACACACTCCCTTATTGATTTTGAACCATGCAGTATCCCCTTGTTCTGTTTTAACAACAGCTTCTTGGTCTATGTACAGGTTCTGGCATAGTGCCTAAGGCATTTGACTGCTAACCAGAAGGCTGGAGGTTCAAATCCACCAGCTACTCCTTGGAAGGAAGATTGGGCAATCTACTTCCATAGTGATAATGCCTTGGAAACCCAAGGAGGGGTCGCTATGAGTAGGATCAGACTCAACAGCAGTGAGTTTGGTTTTTGATCATGAATACAATCAAGTGTTCTGGAATTCCCATTCTTCTCAATGTTATTCATAATTTGTTATGATTCACACAATCAAATGCTATTGTATTGCAATAAAACGTAAGTAAACTTCTTTCTGGTATTCAATGCTTTCAGCTAAGATCCATCTGACATCAGCAATGATATCTCACATTCCATGTCCTCTTCTGAATCCAGCTTGCATTTCAGGAAACTTTCTGTCAATATACTGCTGCAACCATTTTTGAATTATCTTCAGTAAGGTTTTATTTGTATGTGATATCAATGATATAGTTCAATAATTTCCACCTTCTGTGGAATCACTTTTCTTTGGAATGGGTACAAATATGGATCTCTTCCAGTCAGTTGGCCAGGTAGCTGTCTTCCAAATCTCATGGCCTAGCCAAGTGAGTGTCTCCAGTGGGGCATCTGTTTGTTGAAACATCTCAGTGAGTATTCCATCAATTCCTGGAGCCTTGTTCTTCACCAATTCCTTCAGTACAGCTTCGACTTCTTCCTTCACTACCATTGGTTGTTGATTATATGCCACCTCCTGAAATGGATGAACATTGACCAATGTTTTTGGTATAGTGACTCTGTGTATTCCTTCCATCTTCTTTTGATGCTTTCAGTACAGCTTCAACTTCTTCCTTCAATACCATTGGTTCTTGATCATATGCCACCTCCTGAAATGGATGAACATTGACCAATTATTTTTGATAATAGTGACTGTGTATTCCTTCCATCTTCTTTTGATGCTTCCTGCATCATTTAATATATTGCCCATAGAATCTTCCAATATTGCAAGTCAAGGCTTAAACTTTTCCCTAAGTTCTTTCAGCTTGAGAAATGCCAAGTGTGTTTTTCACTTTTGATTTTCTAACTCCAGGTCTTGGCACATTTCATTATAATAATTGGCTTTGTCTACTTGAGCTGCTCTTTGAAATCTCCTGTTCAGCTCTTTTATCTTGTCATTTCTTCCATTTGCTTTAGCTACTCTCCACTCAAGGGCAAGTTTCAGAGTCACTTCTGTCATCCATTTTGGTCTTCTCTTCTTTTCTCATCTTTTTAGTGATCTCTTGCTTTCTTCATGGATAATATTCTTGATATCCTCCCACAATTCTTCTGGTTTTCAGTCGTTGGTGTTCAATG